AAATGTAATAGGCCAGGTCCAGTGTGGGCTCACGTCTGTAATCCCAGCACTTTCAGAGGCCAAGGCAAGCAGGCAGCTTGGACTCAGGAGTTGAAGACCAGCCTGGGCAACATGGTGAAACCTGTATCTACTAAGAACAAAAAATTAGCTGGGCATGGTAGTGTGCACCTATGGTCTCAGCTACTCAAGAGGCTGAGGTGGGAGGGATCGCTTAAGCCTGGGAGGCAGAGGTTTCAGTGAACCAAGATTAGCCAAACCACGTGGCCCAGCCCCACCTAAGTAATTTTTAATTTGCTCAGTATCCACATTCAAAAAGTAAAATGAGGGACCAGGTAGAGTGGCTCATGCCTGTAATCCAGCCACTTTGGGGGCTGAGGTGGGTGGATCTCCTGGCTCAGGAATTCAAGACTAGCTTGGCTACACATGGTGAAACCCGTCTCTACTAAAAAACAAAAATCAGCCAGGCATGGTGGCACACGCCTGTAATCCCAACTCCTTGGGAGGCGTGAGGCAAGAGGATCACTTGAGGCGGGGCGCGGTGGCTCAAGCCTGTAATCCCAGCACTTTTGGGAGGCCGAGACGGGCGGATCACGAGGGTCAGGAGATCGAGACCATCCTGGCTAACACGGTGAAGCCCCGTCTCTACAAAAAAATACAAAAAAAAAAAAAACTAGCCGCGCGAGTGGTGGGCGCCTGTAGCCAGCTACTCGGGAGGCTGAGCAGGAGAATGGCATGAACCCGGGAGGCGGAGCTTGCAGCGAGCTGAATCCGGCCACTGCACTCCAGCCTGGCCACAGAGCAAGACTCCGTCTCAAAAAAAAAAAAAAAAAAAAAAAAAGATCACTTGAGCCTAGGAGGCGGAGGTTGCAGGTTGCAGGGAGGTGAGATCATGCCACTGCACTCCAGCCTGGGCAACTACGCCAGACCATGTTTCAAAAAAAAAAAAAAAAAAAAATTAGATTAAAAAAAAAGTTTAAAAAGGCTGGGTGGGGTGGTTCATGACTGTACTCCCAACACTTTCGGAGGCTGAGATGGGAGGATCACTGGAGCCTAGGAATTCAATACCAGCCTGGGCAATATGGCAAGAGATTGTCTTTATAAAAAATTAGCCAGGTGTGGTGGCACATATCCGTAGTCGCAGCTACTCAGGAGGCTGAGGCAGGAGGATTGCTTGAGCCTAGGAGTTCAAGGCTGCAGTGAGCCATGATAGCACCACTGCACTCCTGCCTGGGTGATAAAGCAAGACCCTGTCTCAAAAAAAAAAAAAAAAAAAAAATTAATGTATTTTATTTAACCCAATATTCCTAAAATATTTCAATATATAAACAGTATTTAAAAGATACATTCCTTTTTTTTTTTTGAGACAGTGTCTTGCTTTGTCGTCCAGGTTGGAGTGCAGTGGGATGATCATAGCTCATAGCAGCCTTGAACTAGGTTCAAGCGATCCTCCCAAGCTGGGATTATAGGTGTGTGCCACCACCCCTGGTTTACAAAAAATATTTTTTTTTGAGATGGAGTGTAGCTCTGTCACCCAGGCTGGAGTGTAGTGGTGCCATCTCAGTTCACTGCAACCTCCGCCTCCCAGGTTCAAGTGATTCTCCCTGCCTCAGCCTCCCGAGTAGCTGGGATTACAGGCGTGTGCCACCACACCAGGCTTATTTTTGTATTTTTCGTAGAAATGGGGTTTCGCTGTGTTGGGCAGGCTGGTCTCCAACTCCTGACCTCAGGTGAACCGCCTGCCTTGGCCTCCCAAAGTGTGGGATTATAGGCGTGAGCCACCGCACCCGGTCTAAATTTTTTTTTTTTTTTTGTAGACATAGGTCTCACTATATTGCTTAAGCAGGTCTCGAACTCCTGGGTTTAAAGGATCCCCCTGCCTCTGCCTCCTCCGGACGGGGATTACAGGCAGGAGCCACGGCACCTGGTGCTATTTTGCATTCTTTTTTTCATACGACGTGTTTGAAATCCAGTTTGTACAGTGTTTTACATTTATAGCACATTCCCACTGGGACTAGTCACATTTGAGGTGCTCAAAAGCCACTATGGCTACGGCTAATGTATTGGACAACACAGTGCTAGGAAGCCCGTCCTGAGGACGCTGCAGTTTATAACATCATAGTTCCTACTCTTTGGACTGCTGCTTTCCCCCAATGTATTAAGACTTGCAGAGTGTAAATAGGGCGCCGTGAGTGTGCAAAGGAACACACCTTCGCAAACGGCTCACTCCGAATACTTTTCGGCTGTCCTACCTTCAATAGGCTTCCCGTGCACAAGCAGAAGGCAGGAGCTGGCGGGGCGGGGGGGAAGGGCGGCTCTGCCATTTAACTATCTGTGCGATGCTGAGCAAATTACACACGGTCTCTCTGACTCAGCTCCTTCCTGTTTCAAATGGGTATTATAGTATTTCTCACTACGTAGGTCCTTATGCGGATTAAATGAGCTACTACACGCCATTCGGCACAGCGCCAGGCACACACTCAATGTTCAATACATGTAGGCGGTAAGCCCGGTAAACTGGTAGCCGGCCTGAGCAAGTCCCAGGAAAAGCCCAGAAACTCTGGAGACATTACAGCCCAGGTCAAGAACCACGGCCCAGGCCGTCCTGTACGCGGGCCCACCAAGCCTAGGGAAGCAGCTTGTCACCGCTTCGGCTTCTAGACTCCCTGGCCGGCTCTTTCCCGTCAAGGCTGCGGCTGGAGGGGCCTGAGGGAGACCTAGGGAGCGGCTTCCTCTTTCCATCCACGGAGACAACTTGGATGTGAACACCATGAATGTGAGGAGGTCCACTGGAATCAGGAGGGATGGACTCCTGGACTCCCCAGCTACCTGCGGGGTCCTTCCCGGTGTGAGGACACAAGACCTGTCCTGGGCCGGGCCCGCATCCAGCCCTACAGTCGGTGTCTGCGGTGAGGGCTCCGTCAGCGGAAAGCGCGTGACAACCCACAGGCTGGCAGGACCGGGGGCGTGGTCAACGCGGGCCCCGCCCCCCGTCCCCGGGCCCCAGCGCCGAGCGGACGCGCCCGCCTGAAGCAGCCAATTGGGAAGCGCAGAGCAGGTTCAAACACAGACGGCGGGTGAACATGGCGTCCTCGACTTGGTTTGAGACGTGATCGGCCTGCCTTCTGGCTGAAGATGTGGCGGGTGAAAAAACTGAGCCTTAGCCTGTCGCCTTCGCCCCAGACGGTGAGCGGGAGAGCTCCGGCGGAGAGAGCTGGGCCGGGCTGCTGGCGCGGGGGCACCGGCCGTGTCGACTGTCCTGGAAAGTTGGGTCGAGCCCGGGGTTGGGTGCTTGTGGAGTCTTTGTTCGCCTTGCCGCTCCTGCGCGACTAGAATGCGAGCCTACTCTTCTAATCGCCTCTTGGGCTTCTTAGGGAGGGAGGAAGGGCGGGCTAGCAGAGCCCAGGCTTCCTCACACTAGCCCTCTTTCTTGGTTTCTTTCTCAGGGAAAACCAGCTATGAGAACTCCTCTCCGTGAACTTATCCTGCAGCCCGGTGCCCTCACCAACTCTGGAAAAAGGCCCCCCGCTTGCTCCTCGCTGACCCCATCACTGTGCAAGCTGGGGCTGCAGGTGAGATTCGCCTGGACAGCTTCTCGACTGGGCTGTTTGCCCAGGGTGAGAGCTCAGGGGAACAGAGGGGCAGGGCTAGAATAATTAATAACGATAATTAAGTCTTCTACGTCACTGACATCCATTTACAGCTATTCAGGCCAACAGAGAGGTGCCCTAGGGTGGTTAAAGGAAATCCACTGAGAACCTGAATCTCTGTTTAGCTGTTAGTTTTTATTACCTCCTCCTCCTCCCTTCGACCTTTATCAAACTACTTAGAAATTCTGCCACTCTGATTAGTGCTCTTCCTCCAACATGGGGTCACTTATGGAAAGGTCAGTCAGCTGTAAGATTGAGGCAATATCCATTCACTCTAGGAGGTAGTCAGAACTCTCCTGGGATCAAGTTACACCACTGGAAGGCAGGGTACTTGGATCACCTTAGTTTAGCCCCTTGCAGAATTGCCCTCACTGATTTGTACTTTTGTTAAACGTCTTGAGAGATGTAGCCATGTAGAAACTGCATTTCAGTTGCTGTCAAAACTTGTCAAGGAAGAAGCTTGACTCCTGTATAAGATTCCTCAAAGAAAGGCTTTGGGACTAACTGCCTGGAAAAATTGTCTTCCTGAAGAAATTGCTATCCTTTTCTTTCTGATAATGAGAACTATGCAGTTTACCATATTTTCCCTCTTGCTCTGCCTTCTAGAAAGCTCAAGGCCAAACTGGATCATCACATACAGCTACTGTTACTCGCAAAATAGGAAGTTTTGCTTCCTCTTTTTTGACCATGACTTTGTTATTTCATTAATCATATCTATTCATTTTCATGCATATGAATTATTTTTGGAAGGAGATGGGATATCAGTAAAATTGGTTTGAGGAGGAAAGAGTGTATAAAGACAGATGACATCCTGAGTAACAGTAGGATGATAGCAGTCTTTCTTGAAAGAGTTGCAAAATACCTACTGTCCAACAGAACTTTCTGGGATGAGGGAAATATTTGATAATCTGTGCTGTCCAGCATGGTAACTACTAGTCACATGGTTACCGAGCACTTAAAATGTGGCTGAGGTGACTGAAGAATTGAATTTTTTTGTTTTTGAGATGGGAGTCTTGCTCTGTCACCCAGGCTGGAGTGCAGTGGAGTGATCTTGGCTCACTGTAATCTCTGCCTCCAGGGCTCAAGGGATTCTCCTGCCTCAGGCTCCTGAGTAACTGGGATTACAGGTGCATGCCACCACACCCAGGTAATTTTTTGTATTTTTAGTAGAGATAGGGTTTCACAATGTTGGCCACGCTGGTCTCAAACTCCTGACCTCAAGTGGTCCGCCTGCCTCGGCCTCCCAAAGTGCTGGGATTACAGGTGTGAGCCGCTGCGCCTGGCCTGAAGAATTGAATTTTTAATTAAATTAAATTAAATTTTTTTTTTGAGATGGAGTTTCGCTCTTGTTGCCCAGGTTGGAGTGCAATGGTGTGATCTCGGCTCACTGCAACCTCTGCCTCCCGGGTTCAAGCAATTCTCCTGTCTCAGCCTCCGGCATGTGCCACCACGCCCAGCTAATTTTTGTATTTTCAGTAAAGATGGGGTTTCTCCACGTTGATCGGTCTGGTCTCGAACTCATGACCTCAGGTGATCTGCCCGCCTTCGCCTCCCAAAGAGCTGGGATTATAGGCATGAGCCACTGCGCCCGGCCTGAATTTTTAATTTAAATAGCTACGTGTGACAGGTAGCTATCAGACAGTACAGCTTAAGGTGGAAAATAAATAAGTACTAGGTAGAAATTGAGCTCCATAGAGCTTATATAATTTATTATGATTATTAATTAATTTATTTATTTTGAGATGCAGTTTCGCTCTTGTTCCCTAGGCTAGAGTGCAATGGCATGATCTTGGCTCACTGCATCCTCTGCCTCCTCGGTTCAAGCGATTCTCCTGCCTCAGCCTCCCTAGTAGCTGGGATTACAGGCATGTTCCACCACACCTGGCTAATTTTCGTATTTTTAGTAGAGATGGGGTTTCGCCATATTGGCCAGGCTGGTCTCGAATTCCTGACCTCAGGTGATCCACCTGCCTCAGCCTCCCAAAGTGTTGGGATTACAGGCGGGAGCCACAGCGCCTGGCCTGAGCTTATAGAATTTAACCATGATTATTTAATCACAATAGCAGAATACTAGATTGAAATTGAATTCTCCTTCCCTCTTAACTACTGGGCGTACTACCTCCAGATGTAGTCAGCTACTCAATGAAAAGGGTTTTTCCCCAACAAAATAGCCATTATTTTTGTTTTGTAAAAAAAATTTTTTTTTGAGAGTCTCACTCTGTCACCCAGGCTGGAGTACACAGTGGCACAATCTTGGCTCACTGCAACCTCTGCCTCCCGGGTTCAAGCAATTTTCCTCCCTCAGCCTCCCAAGTAGCTGGGATTACAGGTGTGTGCCACCATGCCTGGCAAATTTTTTTTTTTTTGAGACAGAGTCTCACTCTGTCACCCAGGCTGGAGTGCAGTGGTGCCATCCAGGCTTACTGCAACCTCTGCCTCCCAGGTTCATGCAATTCTCTTGCCTCAGCCTCCTGAGTAGCTGGGATTACAGGCATGTGTCATTACGCCCAGGTAATTTTTGTAGAGACAGGGTTTCACCAGGTTGGTCAGGCTGGTCTCGAACTCCTGACCTCGTGATCTGCCCACCTCAGCCTCCCAAAGTGCTGGGATTATGGGCATGAGCCACGGTGCCCGGCCTAATTTTTTTTTTTCTTTTTTTTTTTTTTTGAGACAGGGTCTCACTCCTTCATCCAGGCTGGAGTGCAGTGGCACGATCTCAACTCACTGCAACCTCCGCCTCCCAGGTTCAAGCAGTTCTCCTGCTTCAGCCTCCCTAGTAGCTGGGATTACAGGCGCGTGCCACCATGCCTGGTTAATTTTTTGTATTTTTAGTAGAGGTGAGGTTTCATCATGTTGGCCAGGCTGGTCTCAAACTCTTGACCTCAAGTGATCCGCCCACCGTGGCCTCCTAAAGTGCTGGGATTATAGGTGTGGGCCACTGCTCCTGGCCTGTTTGTAAATTTTTGATTATTAATAGATTTTAATTGTTTGAAGCATTTGAATATATAAATGTATAAGGAAGAAATATTTCTGTTATCTTAGATAACTGTCATATTTGACAATTCTTTCATGCATCTCTTTATGTGTGTCTATTTTGTATATATGCACACACACACACTCATGTTTATATTGTCTTTTTGTTTTTTTGAGAAGGAGTCTCGCTGTGTCGCCCAGATGGGAGTGCAGTGGTACGATCTTGGCTCACGACAACCTCTGCTTCCCAGGTTCAAGCGATTCTCCTGCCTCAGCCTCCCGAGTAGCTGGGACTACAGGCGCCCGCCACCATGCCCGGCTGGTTTTTGTATTTTGAGTAGAAATGGGGTTTCACCATATTGGCCCAGCTGGACTCGAACTCCTGACCTTGTGATCCGACCGCCTCATCCTCCCAAAGTGCTGGGATTACAGATGTGAGCCACTGCGCCCTGTTTTTTGTTTTTTTTTTTTTTTTGAGACAAGGTCTTGCTTTGTTACCCAGGCGACAGTGCAGTGGTGTGATCTTGACTCACTGCAACCTTGAACTCCTGAGCTCTAGCAATCCTCCCACCTCAGCCTCCTGAATAGCTCGGACTATAGGTGTGAGCCACCATACCTTTTAATAATTTCAAAATTAAAGTAAGATACATGAAATTACAATAAAACATAACAGCATAACAAATTACTATAAAGTACACATCCATGTAACTAATACCCAGGTCAGTAAGTAGGACAGTGCCAGAATATCAGAAGCCCTTTTTAACCTAACTTTGGTTTTGTTTTATCCACTGATATAAATGAGAAATTTCATGTTTGATTATTTTTTGTTTTTTGTTTTTTGAGACAGGCTCTTGCTCTGTCGCCCAGGCTGGAGTGCAGTGGCGCAATCTTGGCTCACTGCAAGCTCCGCCTCCCGGGTTCACACCAGTCTCCTGTCTCAGCCTTCCAAGTGTCTGGGACTACAGGTGCCCGCCACCACGGCCGGCTAATTTTTTGTATTTTTAGTAGAGACGGGGTTTCATCGTGTTAGCCAGGATGGTCTCGATCTCCTGACCTCATGATCCACCCGCCTCGGCCTCCCAAAGTGCTGGGATTACAAGTGTAAGCAACTGCGCCTGGCCTGTTTGATTATTTTTTTTAATAAATAATTGGACTTTCTATCTAAAGCTTCCAAAATAGTTTTATCTTCGCTGTAGCACAGAAATTTTATAATTATGTGTCTAGCTTGTATCTTTTCTAGTCAGTCCTGCTTAGAAACTGGTGAGCCGTTTTAATGTGCAAACTCAGGTCTTTTATTGGGGCAATTTTCTTCTAATATTTGTTAATCAGTGCCTTATGTATATATGTTCTCTTCTGGAATTTCTTTTATTTAACTGTTAGGTTTCCTGGGTTTATCTTCTAATTCTTTTAGCTTTTCCTTCAGATTTACATTTCTTTATATTTTTATCTTTGCTTTAAGATATTTCGTCCACTTGTCCAGGCCAGTAATTCTAGTTTCAACTCTGATAATTTACTCTTTCAATTCATTTTACTGACATTTTTTATTTAAAATAATATTATTTCTAAAAAGTCTTTTTGTGTGTATTTATGTTGTAGTTAAAGCTTAAGTACTCATGTTTTTTGTTGTTCAGATTATCATCTGTGTCTTCCGGCAGCTATGTTTTGTTAGGGTCTACCTTTTCTTTTATTTATTTATTTATTTATTTTTTGAGACAGGTTTTTGCTCTGTCACCAAGGCTGGAGTGCAGTGGCGCAATCTTGGTTCACTGCAACCTCTGCCCCCTGAGCTCAAATGATCCTCCCACCTCAGCCTCCTGAGTAGCTGGGACTACAGGCACGCATCAGCACCACCACACCCAGCTAATGTTTGTATTTTTAGTAGAGATGAGGTTTGAACTCAAGTGATTCACCTACTTGTGGCCTCCCAAATGCTGGGATTACAGGCATGAGCCACTGTACCTGGCCTAAGGTCTGCCTTTACTAACTATCTTAGTGTTTATCCTTTCTCTGGCTATACCAGATCCACTTAAGATCATTCATATTTTCTTTTGTTGTTCATTGAGTCTCAGGTCCAGCAATCGTGCAGTTGGTAGAAGGTGCACTTGTCTTTCTCCCTGTGACCCAGCAGTAGGGAGGTTGTCAGTCCCTTGTCAGGGCATCAGGAGGAAGTCTCTCTGCTCTTTAGTCTCCTGTGCTACAAAGTCTAGGTCTCTTCAAATCCCAAGGGCCAAGTTGGTTCAACCCCTGTGTTCAGGATGCCCTTAGCTCTGTGGACTATAAGACTAGGTCACTGGCACAGGTTAGTGTTGCCCTTTCTCCCTGGACTTCATGGATCTCTGTGGTCCATGTGCTTTCTAACCCTGGTTCCCAAATTCTCATCTGTTTCAAGAGGGAGAAGACCTTTTTTTTTTTTTTTTTTTTTTTGAGATGGAGTCTCAAAGAAGTCTCTCTTGCCCAAGCTGTAGTGCAATGGTGCAAACTCGGCTCACTGTAACCTCTGCCTCCTGGGTTTAAGCAATTCTCCTGCCTCAGCCTCCCGAGTAGCTGGGATTACAGGCATGCGCCACCACGCCCAGCTAATTTTGTATTTTTAGTAGAGATGGGGGTTTCACCAGGTTGGTCAGCTGGTCTCAAACTCTTGACCTCAGGTGATCTGCCCGCCTTGGCCTCCCAAAGTGCTGGGATTACAGTCGTTAGCTACTGCGCCCAGCCAAGAGGGAGAAGATCTTGTACCAACTCTAGATTCTGACAGAGCTTGAGCCTTCACTCACACCCTATGGACCCCTCCTACCTGTTCATCTACAAGTGCGTTAAGATTTCGGAATGGAAAGGAGTGGGGTCATGTTCAAGCTGCCATCTGCCCATGATACGGATCTATATTCTCAGCCGTTTTTTTTTTCTTTTTTTTTTTTGAGATGGAGTTTCGCTCTTGCTGCCCAGGCTGGAGTGCAATGGCACGATCTTGGCTCACTGCAACCTCTGCCTCCCGGGTTCAAGCGATTCTCCTGCCTCAGCCTCCTGAGTAGCTGGGATTACAGGTGCCCGCCACCACACCTGGCTAATTCTTGTATTTTTAGTAGAGACAAGGTTTCACCATGTTGGCCAGGCTGGTCTCGAACTCCTAACCTCAGGTGATCCACCCGCCTCGGCCTCCCAAAGTGCTAGGATTACAGGCGTGAGCCACCATGCCCGGCTGTCAGCCTGTTTATAGTGTAGGCTGGTTCACTTGGAAGGACCCAAAATGGCTTAGCAGCTTTTCTTTCCCTACTATTGGGTCTCTATATGAGCAACCAAGATTAGCCAAGTTCTTACCTAAGCAGAGGTAGTAAGAATTCTTTTCTTTTTTGAGTTTGGACACTATCTTGCACTCGTAATTGTATGTTGGGAACCGAATTGACCGCCTTAGACAACTACTTTTGTTTCCTTTGGCAGGAAGGCAGCAACAACTCATCTCCAGTGGATTTTGTAAATGCCAAGAGGACAGACTTCCCTTCAGAACATTTCAGTCATTCCTCAAAGTGGCTGGAAGCCTGTCAGCATGAATCAGATGAGCAGCCTCTAGATCCAGTTCCCCAAACTAGCTCTACTCCTAAAACGTCTGAGGAAGCAGTAGACCCACTGGACAACTATGTGGTTAAAACCATCGTCCTTGTACCATCTCCACTGGGGCAGCAGCAAGACATGACATTTGAGGCCCATTTAGATACCATGGCAGAGACAAACAGCATATCTTTAAATGAACCTTTGAGAACAGGAGATCTGGTGAGAGAGGAGGTGGCACCCTGCATGGAAGACAGGTTTTCAGAAGTTGTTGCTGCTGTATCTGAGAAACTTATCTTTCAGGAATCTCCGTCCCATCTCTTAGAGTCTCCACCAAATCCCTCTTCTGAACAACTAAATTGCTCCAAGGAAAGCCTGAGGGACAGTAGGACTGAGGCTGTGCCTGAGGACTTAGTAGTACCTTCTGAAAGTAACGCCTTCTTGCCTTCCTCTTTTCTCTGGCTTTCCCCTTCAACTGCCTTGGCAGCAGACTTCCCTGTCAATCATGTGGACCCAGAGGAGGAAATTGTAGAGCATGGAGCTATGGAGGAAAGAAAAATGAGCTTTCCTACACACCCTAAGGAGTTTGAATCAGAAGATCAAGCACTTGTCTCAAATGTGGAAGATATTCTGTCCACATGCCTGACACCAAATCTAGTAGAAATGGAATCCCAAGCAGCTCCAGGCCCAGCAGTAGATGATGGTAGGATTCTTGGCTCTGATACAGAGTCTTGGATGTCCCCACTGGCCTGGCTGGAAAAAGGTGTAAATACCTCCGTCATGCTGGAAAATCTCCGCCAAAGCTTATCCATTCCCTCGATGCTTCGGGATGCTGCAATTGGCACTACCCCTTTCTCTACTTGCTCGGTGGGGACTTGGTTTACTCCCTCAGCACCACAGGAAAAGAGTACAAACACATCCCAGGCAGGCCTGGTTGGCACCAAGGACAGTACTTCTGAGACAGAGCGGCTCCTGTGTGGGTAAGTGCCCCTATGTTCTTGCGCCTCGTGAGTTCCATTATCCTGGACCTTCCCCTCCCATCCCTTCCCCTCCCTTTCTTTTTGTCATGTTCTTCTGTTTCTGCTGCAGCCGGCCTCCAGATCTGACTGCCTTGTCTCGACATGACTTGGAAGATAACCTGCTGAGCTCTCTTGTCATTCTGGAGGTTCTCTCCCGCCAGCTTCGGGACTGGAAGAGCCAGCTGGCTGTCCCTCACCCAGAAACCCAGGACAGTAGCACACAGACTGACACATCTCACAGTGGGGTAAGAAGATTCCTTTCAAAGCTTGAAGGATCCCAGTGGGCTCTCTTCCTTGGAATTTAAGCTGAGAAGCTGCCAGAGGGCAAAGGGGACTCCTATCACAAGCTTATACTTAGAACATTTGTAAAAGCTGAGAATCTGGGCAGGCACGGTGGCTGATGCCTATAATCCCACTGCTTTGGGAGGCCAAGGTGGGAGGACTGCTTGAGGCCAGGCATTTGAAACCAGCTTGGGCAACATAGCAAGATCCCATCCCTACAAAAGATTTTTAAAAAATCAGCTGGATATGGTTTTGCATGCCTCACTACTCAGGAGGCTGAGGCAGGAGGATCATTTGAGCCCAGGAAGTTAAGGCTGCAGTGAGCTATGATCATGCCACTGCACTTCAGCCTGGGCAAGACAGTGAGACCCTGTCTCTTAAACAAAAAAGCTGAGGATCTGAAAAATCCCCTTAAAGCTATGGGTAGTCACTATACTCCTGGGGTACATCAGAACTTTCCAAAGTAGTGCAAGCAAGGAAAGTTTTAAAGGAATTGGTTTTTAGAACATCATCTTCCACATGTATTCTTTTTCTTCATTTTTTGCATTGGTAGACTATATTTAATATTTTAAGAAAAATTGTGAATAAGCCTAAAACATTTTTTAAAATAATTTTTATTTTTTGTGGTTACAGAGTAGGTAAATATATTCATGGGGTCCATGAGATGTTTTGATACAGGCATGTGATGGGCAATAATCACATCATGGAAAATGTGGTATCTGTATCTGTCCCTTCAAGCATTTATCCTTTGTGTTACAAGCAATCCAATTATACTCTTAGTTGTTGTTTTTGTTTGTTTTTTTTTTTTGAGACGGAGTCTCACTCTGTCACCCAGGCTGGAGTGCAATGGTGTGGTCTCGGCTCACTGCAGCCTCCTCCTCCTGGGTTCAAGCAATTCTCCTGCCTCAGCCTCCTGAGTAGCTGGGAATACAGGGGCATGCCACCACACCCAGCTAATTTTTGTATTTTTAGTAGAGACAGGTTTTCACTGTGTTGGCCAGGCTGGTCTCGATTTCCTGACCTTGTGATCCACCTGCCTCAGCCTCCCAAAGTGCTGGGATTACAGGCATGAGCAACTGCGCCCAGCCTGTTTTTTTTTTTTTTTTTTTTGAGACGGAGTTTTGCCGTTGTTGCCCAGGCTGGAGTGCAGTGGTGCGATCTCGGCTCACTGCAACCTCCGCCTACCAGGTTCAAGTGATTCTCCTGCCTCAGCCTCCTGAGTAGCTGGGAGTACAGGCATGTGCCACCACACCCAGCTAATTTTGTATTTTTAGTACAGATGGGGTTTCTCCATGTTGGTCAGGCTGGTCTCGAACTCCTGACCTCAAATTATCCACCCGCCTTGGCCTCCCAAAATGCTGGGATTACAGGCATGAGCCACCACGCCTGGCCTATTTTAGTTATTTTTAAATATACAAATTACTATTGACTGTAGTCCTCCTGTTGTGCTATCAAATATTAGACCTTATTTATTCTCATTATCCACATGTATTCTTCACTGTTTTTCTTTCCTACTTCTCCGTTCTCAAATGCCTGATTGCCTATGCCCACTTTACTAAAGAAGAACATACTTTCTTTTCTTTTCTTTCTTTTGAGACAGAGTCTTGCTGTCACCCAGGCTGGAGTGCAGTGGTGTGATCTCGGGTCACTACAACTTCTGCCTTCTGGGATCAAGCCATCTTCCCACCTCAGCTTCCCAAAGTGCTGGGATTATAGGCATGAGCTATTGTGCTCAGCCTCCCTTCTTCTGTTTCTACTTATTCCTATTGTTGTTTTTCTGTGTGTTTTTTTGTTTTTTTTTGTTTTTTGTTTTTGAGACGGAGTCTTGCTCTGTCGCCCAGGCTGGAGTGCAGTGGCGTGATCTTGGCTCATTGCAAGCTCCGCTTCCCGAGTTCCCACCATTCTCCTGCCTCAGCCTCCTGAGTAGCTGGGACTATAGGCGCCTGCCACCGTGCCCAGCTAATTTTTTGTATTTTTAGTAGAGACGGGGTTTCACCATGTTAGCCAGGATGGTCTTGATCTCCTGACCTCGTGATCTGCCTGCCTCAGCCTCCCAAAGTGCTGGGATTACAGGTGTGAGCCACCGCGCCTGGCCCCTATTGTTTATGTGAAGAAGATTTCTCAGTGTTTACATCTATCAGAATGGAAAGGAGTCAGCTGGCATGGTGGCTCACACCTGTAATCCCAGTACTTTGGGAGAGTGAGGTGGGAGGATCACTTGAGCTCAGGAGTTCAAGACCACCCTGGGAAATATGGTGAAACCTCATATCTACAAAAAAATACACAAATTAGCTGGGTGCAGTGGTTTGTGCCTGTAGTCCCAGCTACTCGGAAGGCTGAGGTGGAGGATCACTTGAGGCCGGGAGTTGAAGGCTGCAGTGAACTGAGATCTTGCCACTGCACTCCAGCCTGGGCGACAGAGCCAGACCCTGCCTCAAAAAACAGAGTCATGAATTGTTGCTGAACCATTTCTTATTGCTAGAATTATAGTAATCCACAGATATATGAACTAATAAGGGGAAGGAAGCTCCATCAATTTCATTAATAGGCGATTCCCAATTAAATTTTGCTGAGCATGTTTATTTTATTAGAAATTATTACAGTGACTACTATACAACTGATTAAAAGATTTCTCTATCCAAAAGAAAGCTTTTTCACTTTAAAGTCTTCTAGTCAAAGGAGTTGAAAGGAAATTTTAATTTAAATTTAGACGAACTTTTGTTGTTATTGCAGAGATGATGGTTAATAACAGATTTCATTTTTATTTTTTGAGATAGAGTCTCGGTCTGTCACCCAGGCTAGAGTACCATGTTGTGATCAGGGCTCACTAAAGCCTCAGCTTCCTTGGCTCAGGTGATCCTCCCACCTCAGCCTTCTGGGTAGCTAGGACTGTAGGTGTATGCCACCACACCTAGCTAATTTTTTTGTATTTTTAGTAGAGATGGGGTTTTGCTATGTTGGCCAGGCTGTTCACAAACCCCTGGGCTCAAGTGATCTGCCAGCCTTTGCTCCCAAAGCACTAGGATTACAGGTGTGAGCCACTGTGCCCAGCTAATAACAGACTTTAAAGCATACAAATATATTACATTAGGATGAAATTGTGAGAAAAATAAATGTTCAAAGAGAAAAAGCAATGACATAATAAAATTTCTGAATGCTAAGAAGAGCTTTTTCTTGTATTTTTAAAAGATAGCAACTAGGTATCATATCATTTTGGTGTATGTAGTATTTATGCCACTGGATATATTTAAGAGTAATCTAATAATTTTATTTTAGGCTGGGTGTGGTGGCTCACACCTGTAATCCCAGCACTTTGGGAAGCCGAGGTGGACGGATCACCCGAGGTCAGGAGTTCGAGACCAGCCTGGTCAACATGGCGAAACCCCGTCTCTACTAAAAATACAAAAATTGGCCAGGCGCAGTGGCTCACGCCTGTAATCCCAGCACTTTGGGAGGCCGAGGCTGGTGGATCACGAGGTCAGAAGATTGAGACCATCCTGGCTAACACTGAAACCCCGTCTTTACTAAAAATACAAAAAAATTAGCCGGGTGTGGTGGCAGGCACCTGTAGTCCCAGCTGCTCCAGAGGCTGAGACAGGAGAATGGTGTGAACCCAGGGGGCAGAGCTTGCAGTAAGCCGAGATCGCACCATTGCACTCCAGCCTGGGTGACAGAGTGAGACTCCGTCTCAAAAAAAAAAAAAAAACAAACCAAAATTACCGGGCGTGCTGGGTGGGTGCCTGTAATTCCAGCTATTCGGAGGGCTGAGGCTGTGAATCCCTTGAACCTGGGAGGCGGAGGTTGCCATGAGCCGAGATTGCACACTGCACTCCAGCCGGGGGATAGAGTAAGACTCTGTCTCAAAAAAAAAAAAGTTATTATATTTTTTTTTGGACGATTGCTCTGTCGCCCAGCTGGAGTGCAGTGGCGCGATCTTGGCTCACTGCAAGCTCTGCCTCCCGGGTTCCCACCATTCTCCTGCCTCAGCCTCCCAAGTAGCTGGGACAACAGGCACCCACCACCACGCCCGGCTAATTTTTTTGTATTTTTAGTAGAGACAGGGTTTCACCATGTTAGCCAGGATGGTCTCGATCTCCTGACCTCCTGATCCGCCGGCCTTGGCCTCCCAAAGTGCTGAGATTACAGGCGTGAGCCACCGCGCCCGGCCCAAACAATTATTTTAAATTGTCAATATTGGTAATATGCTGGACGTTAAAGTCTTTGTAACAATTTAAACTTAAGGGTACTTAGTTTTTGCAGGAAATACAAGAGGAAAGTACCTAAAAGACCACTGTTGGCCCAACGTGGTGGCTCACGCTTGTAATCCCAGCACTTTGGGAGGCTGAGGCTGGCAGATCACTTGAGGCCAAGAGTTTGAGACCAGCCTGGCTAACATAGTGAAACCCCATCTCTATTAAAAATACAAAAGTTAGCTAGGTATGGTAGTGCACTCCTGTAATCCCAGCTACTTGGGTGGCTGAGGCATGAGAATCCCTTGAACCCAGGAGGTGGAGGTTGCAGTGAGCTGAGATCGTGCCACTGCACTCCAGCCTGGGCAACAGATTGAGACTGTCTCAAACAACAACAACAATAACAACAATGTTCTAGAGGACTCTGTTACAACACAGGCCTAGGAAGGAAGGGAATGGTGGCAGGTGAAGGAATTGACAGCACTTCACCATTGTGGCTGTTGAGATAATAGGTGGCTGCTGCTAAGAAGAGATGATCCCCAAATGTGCAAAGACCTCCTTTGAGTTGAAATATCCTCAAAGTAGTGACTTTACCATTTGCCAAAAATCCTGGAAATCGTAAGCTCCGTGTTCCTCCAGCTGCTCAATTTCTCTCCTGTTTTCTTATATCTTTGTATCCTTTCCTCTGGTTCTTGACCTTGTTTCCCATCCCTGAATCTGCCTTGCATCCTCTTCCCCTGAAGCTTGCCAGGTCCCTTTGTAGGCCACTGAAGCAGAACCAAAGAGGGGAAATGACATACCTTTAGCCATTCTCCATCACCATGCCATGTCCTTGCTGCCTGGCTGCCTCCTTCACATTAATCTCATCACCTGCCTGACTGTCCAGCTGAGCACTATGTGAGCCCTATCCAAGCTCATGTGCTACTCTGTGCCTTACTGCACAATGCAGCAGTGAATGATAACTGCTTTGCTGGGGAAGGAAGCCATGAACTCCAAGAAATCAGCACTGCTGCTCCAGTAGTAATTTTTTCCCCAGATGATGGCTGCCTTGCCTCAGTAATGAAGACTCCCACTTTTCTCTTAGAACTTATCTTCCAGGGTTCTACTGCCTTTGAGATCATACTTACTTACTCTATGCATACTATGAGTTTTATCTATTTGACCCAGGATAATGAGCAGACAATTAAGGAAGTAAAAATGATGAATAAATACCTAAGAAGGTTAGCATTATTGGCATTAAAAAATGCAAATTGAACAGTGAGATGCCATTTTCTTGTGACTTAATAGCACATAATAAAATAGGTAAAGCTGGTAAGCATACTCTGTTTATCTGTAGGATATAAATTGGTTTATCCTTTTTTTTTCTTTTTTTGAGAGAGGGTCTCACTCTTACCCATACTGGACTGCAGTGACATGAACATGGCTCACTGCAGCCTCTACCTCCTGGGCTCAAGGGATCCTCCCACCTCAATCCAGCTGAGTAGCTGGGAATACAGGCACGTGCCACCATGCCTGCCTGGCTAATGAAAAAAATTTTTTTTTTTTTAAAGAGATGGGGTTTCACTATGTTGCCCAGGCTGGTCTTGAACTCCTGGACCTAAGTGAACCTCCTGCCTCAGCCTCTGAAGGTGCTGGGATTACAGGCATGAGTCACTGTGCCTGACTAAACAAAGAAATTTTTTACCTACCTGTGGATTTTTCTTTCTGACTTGGCTTCACTGAACTGAATTGTGAACTTTGCTCCTACTTTTAATAGGAAAGGTGACTGGGTGTGGGAGGAGCACTTTGGAAGTCCGAGGCAGAAGGACTGTCTGAGGCCAGGAGTTTGAGACCAGCCTGGGCAACATAGCAAGACCTCATCTCTACAGAAAATAAAAAATAAATAAAATAGGAAAGGCTCCTATAACTCACTGGGTGGGAGGAAGAATGAGGTGCTGGCAGTACATGTTGCCTACTCAGAAGGAACAACTTGGCTGGTCATGGTGACTCACCCCTATAATCCCAGCACTTTGGCCACCAGCCTGGCCAACATGGTGAAACCTCGACTCTACTAAAACTATACATATTAGCTGGGTGTGATAGTGCATGCCTGTAATCCCAGCTACTTGGGAGGCTGAGGCATGAGAACTGCTTGAACCTGGGAGATGGAGGTTGCAGTGAGTTGAGATTGTGCCACTGCACTCCAGTCTGGATGACAGAGCATGACTCTGTCTCAAAAACAAACAAAATAAGGAACAACTCTGTTTTTCTGGCTAGATAACTAATAAACTTCAGCATCTTAAGGAGAGCCATGAGATGGGACAGGCCCTACAGCAGGCCAGAAATGTCATGGTAAGTGTTGATTGACCTTACACCACCACTGGGTCTCCTGTGAAGATCAAGAATGGAGAATCTTGGGTGGTTAGTAGATGGTGATACTAAGCTGTGGTGGTGAAGGAAGGTTTCCAAACCTTTGTAAAGTACATCTCCTTATGGGGAGCTTGGAATTTGGGGTTAGTGGTTTTCCTCCCCAATGCCCCTGTTGCCTGCTTAGTGACTATTTGATCTCACCTACCCATTTTTTTCTCTACAGCAATCATGGCTGCTTGTCTCTAAAGAGCTGATATCCTTGCTTCACTTATCCCTGTTTCATTTAGAAGAAGATAAAACTACTGTGAGTCAGGAGGTAAGCAGCATGAAGATGGAGGTAGAGGCCTGTGGTGGGACTAAAAGCCATAAAGAAGAACCAGACACATCAACTGATTCTTATTGTATAGTCTCGGCATACAGAAATCTTGGTCTCTTGCTGTTTTGATTTACTGAAGAAATTGAGGGCAAAGCTCCAGAGCCTCAAAGCAGAAAGGGAGGAGGCAAGGCACAGAGAGGAAATGGCTCTCAGAGGCAAGGATGTGGTAAGGTGCCAGGCATTTGTTCTTGTATGTGGGAGGTTTCCACCTCAGGGTTCCTGTAGGAACACAAATGCACTTTAGACACAGATGGGTGGCCTAAGAACTGCCTGCCCTGGGGAGTAAAGAACTGATCTATTGAGGTGTCAGATGGTTACAGCTTTTTGTGCTGGCTCCCCTGTTGCCCACTGTGTCCTTGCAACCTCTTCCCTCAATAGGCAGAGACAGTGCTGGAGGCTTTCTGTGCACATGCCAGCCAGCGCATCAGCCAGCTGGAACAGGACCTAGCATCCATGCAGGAATTCAGAGGCCTTCTGAAGGACACCCAGACCCAACTGGTAATTTAAGGGCATTTTCTTTCCTGGGGTCTGTGCTGACAGACTGGGAGGGTGGACCTGTATCCAAAGGGAAGGGGCTCCCGCCTAGGCAATCTTTCTTTTGTAGGTAGGGCTTCATACCGAGCAAGAAGAGCTGGTTCAGCAGACAGTGAGTCTTACTTCTACCTTGCAACAAGACTGGAGGTCCATGCAACTGGATGTGAGTATTTGGGGCCATCATAATTAATTCCCTACTCACATCAAGTCCTGTTAGGAGCTTTGCCTCAAGTGTGCTCTACTGACCTGCTTGCTTCCTCTGGTAGTATACAACATGGACAGCTTTGCTGAGTCGGTCTCGACAACTCACAGAGAAACTCACAGTCAAGAGCCGGCAGGCCGTGCAGGAACGTGATGCAGCAATTGAGGAAAAGCAGGAGGTACAGACCAGGAGTGGGGACTGCTTAGGCTTGGTTTCCTTTCTAATGTGTGATATCATTAGCCTCTTACCCTGGATCTGTTTTCTTTTCACCCTGTGGGTTTGGAGGCCAGCCAGGTCCCTTAGCTCTAAGATGGCCTTAAGCCCAGTTTTTTCCTTTGCCCTTCAGCATCTTTACTTTAGCAACTTTTCTCCTGTCTCTACTTTTTCCTGAGGATCAACCTTATTTTCTGCAATGTTGATGCCCAGGAGCAAGGTAGTTTTCTGTCTTGTTCAGAAAGAGAAGCTGGACCAAGTCCTGGGATTATTGATTCAGGAGGAACTACAGGAGGAAAACCATCTTTTCTTCCTAGGTTTCCAGGGAGCTGGAACAAGTCTCTGCCCAGTTAGAGGAGTGCAAAGGCCAAATAGAACAACTGGAGTTGGAAAACAGTCGTCTAGCAACAGGTGTTTGTGTGTGTGTGTGTGTATGCACGCATGTAAGCAGTTGAGCCCTGTTAAGGCTTGGAGTGTGGCACTAGAGCAAGGAAGTACTCAGGAGCACTTTCTTTTTTTTTTTTTTTTGAGACGGAGTCTCGCTCTGTCGCCCGGGCTGGAGTGCAGTGGCCGGATCTCAGCTCACTGCAAGCTCCGCCTCCCGGGTTCACGCCATTCTCCGGCCTCAGCCTCCTGAGTAGCTGGGACTACAGACGCCCGCCACCTCGCCCGGCTAGTTTTTTGTATTTCTTAATAGAGACAGGGTTTCACCATGTTAGCCAGGATGGTCTCGATCTCCTGACCTCGTGATCCGCCCGTCTCGGCCTCCCAAAGTGCTGGGATTACAGGCTTGAGCCACCGCGCCCGGCCAGGAGCATTTTCTTTGGAGCAGAGGTTTGGGCAGTTTCTGGCCTGGTAACTGCATAGTGTCATTAGGATACTTTTGTTCTAGATCTCCGGGCTCAGTTGCAGATTCTGGCCAACTTGGACAACCAGCTAAAAGAGCTACAGAGTCAGCATGCCCATTGTGCCCAGGACCTGGCTGTGAAGGATGAGTTACTCTGCCAACTTATCCAGAGCAATGAGGAGCAGGCTGCTCAGTGAGTTCCTAACAGGGTATTGTAGCAGTAGGCATCCAGGAATTAGGACCAAATGGCATCTAATATATGGTCTCTGACAGATGGCAAAAGGAAGAGATGGCACTAAAACACATGCAGGCAGAACTGCAGCAGCAACAAGCTGTCCTGGCCAAAGAGGTGCGGGACCTGAAAGAGACCTTGGAGGTAAGGAATATGGCTTGGGCCAAGGGAGCTGGTAAACCTCAAGAGTGTGATTCTTGCCTGATAGTGTTGAGGTAAGGTTTGAGACCATGAACTAGAAAAAGCCTCTGTCCCTAGGGCACTAAAATTCTCCCTCCCTGTCTTGCTGCTTCTCTTGTCTTCCCAGTTTGCAGACCAGGAGAATCAGGTTGCTCACCTGGAACTGGGTCAGGTTGAGTGTCAATTGAAAACCACATTGGAAGTGCTCCGGGAGCGCAGCTTGCAGTGTGAGAACCTCAAGGACACTGTAGAGAACCTAACGTAAGTTGTCTAACTTTCTGTACTTCCCCCCAAGTGCTTATTTTTTTTGGTCAGGAACACTTCTAGAAGCCAAAATCTCCAAGAAGAGAACTATGAGTGTTGAGCCTCTTGTTTCTCTCCTTTAATGCAGCTCTGTGGGGATTTGGGAGAGGCGTTCAGAGAAGGTAATTTGGTCTTTGGTCATCTTCCCTGTTCCTTATTTCAGGGCTAAACTGGCCAGCACTATAGTAGATAACCAGGAGCAAGACCTGGAGAAAACACGGCAGTACTCTCAAAAGCTAGGGGTGCTGACTGAGCAACTACAGAGGCTGACTCTCTTCCTACAGACAAAACTAAAGGAGAAGGTAGGATCCCGGAGTTCCTTCTCTTCTCTTCCAATTGTATCTTTATTTTACAGAATAGTCTTCGTAAAACATTACTCTTTTTCTAACTGTGACCTTATATGACTTTCAGTTACCTACAGGACCTCATTAGCCTGTTGCTTAAACCTTTTTTCCCCTGTCTTCTACCTCCCTATTATGAACACTTTGCCCCAGCTAGACTGCCTGTATGCTACACATATGTCCCCATTTTTATCTCCAGAACCCAGACTCTGGCTGTTCCCACATTCATTCTCTTCTTTCTTCAAACTGGAAATGCCTATTCTATTAAAATCCTCCCTTCCAACCTGGGCAACATGGTGAAAACCATCTCTACAAAAAATACAGAAATTAGCCCAGGTGTAGTGTTGTGCACCTGTAGTCCCAGCTATCCAGGAGGCTGAGGTGGGAGGATCACCTGAGCCTGGGAAGTTGAGGCTTGCAGTGAGCCATGATCATACCTGGTTAATTTTTTGTATCACTGCGCTCCAAACTGGGTGAGAGTGAAACCCTTTCCCCCCAAAAACAAGAAATCTTCCCTGGTTCACCTTCTTTGAAATGTTCCCAAATCAAATCATGTGGACCTGGCGATCTTTTCTTCTGCCATATTTCTCATGAACTTACTCTCCTTTTGTATTTGCATTAATTTTCCTTGGATACCTGGTCTCTTCAATCAGACTATGTTTCAAGAAAGCAGAAATACAGCCTTCTTTGGCCTCCCCGCAGTGTGCACTAAACAATAAGTGGTTGATATCATTCAGAATACACAGGTAATTAGCTTATTCAGCAGAATATTCAGCTTATTCAGACACAACAAATATCCTAAAATCTGGCAATTGCTTATGACCTGATCCTCTTTCCCAACTGGGTGCCGAGCACAGGAAATGCCAACAAATCTACAGTTTAGCATGGAAGACAACCAGATGTAAACTTGTCATTTTGACTTATGATCATGGTAGAGGTCTGCATGGACCACTGTGAGAGATAGAGAGGGGAGGACCACTTCAACCTTCCCAGAATTAGGATCCCTTCTCAAAGCAGCTGACCTTGGGTACAGTCTTGAGGTTTAGAAGTTTGTGGGGTAGGGGTGGGTATTTAGGAAGGCCCACTAGGCAGAGGGAATGGTGTATGAAAGTTTCATCTGATGACATATGAGAGTCATATGTAGAAAGTCATGCACATTGTACATGATGTGTTCTTTTTTGTAGTGTCTACCTTATAAAACGTGGGTTAGGTGCTGGGACTAGAGGATGAACAAGGCAAGATGCCGCTCATATGGAATGCAGCAAGTCTGAGGAATGGGAAGCAGCTCTTCATGGCTGCAGCGTGAGAGCTATGTGGGGCAAGGCAGGAGACAACACTGCAGAAGTAGGCAGAAGGCAGATTTTGAAGGCTTGAAATAATGGCAGTTTTATAGGCGGTAGAAAGGAAAGGATGGAGTGAATGGATTCAATAGATATTTAGGAAGCAGACGCAGTGGAACCTGGTGACCAATTTGATGTAAGAGGCAGAAGAGTGAATGATGATCCTTAGATTGCTAGGAAAGAGGGCCCAGTGGGTTAGCTGTGTTAGTGTGTGGAGACGGGTTAGTGACACCTCTGGATCATCTCCATGCTCAGGGAGCACTTCACCTATGTGTCGGGAGGAATAGCAATAGGAAGCACTTCATTTTCCCACAACTCAGACACCCAGACGGGAGGGCAGAGGACCAAGGCTGAAAGGAGTGGAGAGCCTGAGAGAGAGATGAGACTGAGGGGAGGTAATGGTGATGCAGGCTAACCAGTTGGTGGGAGAGACCTAGACCGGGGGGGGCAGAGAAGGCGGGAGAACTAGAGAGAGGACCTAGCCTAGGAGGAGAGGGAGCAGGCTGAGCAGGAAATGCTCTGGGTAGGAGATGCAGACTCCAAGGAAATATCCAAAAGAAGAGGAGGATTTGGGATTGGAAAAGCTGAGGTTCAGGTGGGAGAGCTGAGGAGGGATAGAACAGGAAAGGTTGAGCCATGGGGTTTCAAGTATGCAGAAAGGAGCGAAGATGTTAGGAAAGGGTCGAAAGGGCACATCCTGGAGTCCCAGGTAGCAGGACGAGGATGGCAGGGGAAGAGCCAAGGAGACAAAGCGGAGATGCTGAGCGGCTCCTGCCTTGCCTGGCCTTACCTGTGCACAGCCAGTTAGCTGCTGCAGCCACAAGCACAGCTCCTCCAGAACTGAGGCCAGCAAGCTTTTCCTATAAATGACCATATATTAAGTACTTTTGGCTTTTTGGGCCATATCGTCTCTGTCTCAACTACTCAACTCTGCCTTTGTAGTTCAAGAGCAGCCATAGATGATATGTAAATTAATGGGTCTGGCTGCGTTCCAATAAAACTTTATTTACAAAAATAGTTGGCAGGCTAGATTTGACCTGTAGGCCACAATTTGCTAGTGTTCCCTCTCCCTGCTCTAGAATAGTAAATACAGGAGTAGGAACAGACTTTTGATAGGGTGGCACAGGGAAAATGGTGAACTCAGCTTCATACAGATTTGACTGTGGAAACTTCTGGTAGATTCTTCACAGGCAGTTAGCCTTTTGAGTCTGCAGACTGGGAAAAAATCCAGTTGAGAGAGGGATGGAAGTCATTCATGTGGAAAGGAAGTTTGAAGTAGATGTTTTTGTGGCGCTCCCAAGGCAAGGCCACCCTGGGAATGAATTAGAGTAAATTTAGGGCCAAGGACTGAACCCAGAGGATCCAACAGTTAAGGAAGGACCTGTGGATAGAGAAGAAATAACCAGAAAGGTGTGAGGCCTGCCTTTAAAGGAGAAAGACTCATGTCCTGCAAGCTAAGAAAAGAAAGTTTCTAAAAGAACAATGTGGTCATCAATATCAAATAGGTCAGGTAAAACAAGAGCTTCAATGTATGCATTGCATTTGAAAGTAAGGCTGCCATTGGTGAACCAAATGACAAGAATTTAGGCAGAATGACAAGGGAGAAGCCTGAGAGTAGTGGGCTGGGGAGTTAATAGATGGTGAGAATTATAAACAAGAAGTATAAGCCGGGCACGGTGGTTATAAACAAGAAGTATAAGCCGGGCACGGTGGCTCACGCCTGTAATTCCAGCACTTTGAAGGCCGAGGCGGGCGGATCACGAGGTCAGGAGATTGAGACCATCCTAGCTAACCCAGTGAAACCCCATCTCTACTAAAAATACAAAAATTAGCTGGGCGTGGTGGGGGGCGCCTGTAGTCCCAGCTATTTGGGAGGCTGAGGCAGGAGAATGGTGTGAACCCAGGAGGCGGCGGAGCTTGTAGTGAGCAGGTATGGCGCCACTGCACTCCAGCCTGGGCCGCAAAGCAAAACTACGTCTCAAAAAAGAAAAAGAAGTATAGGCTCCTTCTTTTCTTTTTTCTTTTCTTTCTTTCGCAGTAGCTAAAAGGGGATTTAAGGTAAGAAGAAGGGTTTTGTTTAGGTTTATTTTTAAAATACTGCTGTTTTTGTGGGAGAGGCTGAAGAATATAAACATGTTCAGGGAAAGGCACTAATGGAGAAGTTGAAGATAGATAATTGAGATAATAGGTGGAACAGCATTTTGGAGGAGATGGCTGGGAGTTACCTGGAAGCCCAGGAGTTCACTAGACCTGAACAGCAGCTATTTTTTCTTCTTTGCCCTTAGACTGAACAAGAGACCCTTCTGCTGAGTACAGCCTGTGCTCCCACCCAGGAACACCCTCTGCCTAATGACAGCACCTTCCTGGGAAGCATCTTGATAGCAGTGGCAGATGAAGGTTAAAGGCCCTGGGATTTGAGGGCGGGAAAGTTGTAACCCTGCTCCCAATATCTTCAGCTGTTGAAGATGTCCACCAGTGGGCTTGTCTGTCTTACCCTGGCTTCCATTATGATAGACCCCTCCCTGGATGACCAGAGGGGCCCTCTCCCATTATTGGTTTTTCTCTTAGAGCCAGAATCAACTCCTGTGCCCTTGCTTGGAAGTGACAAGAGTGCTTTCACCCGAGTAGCATCAATGGTTTCCCTTCAGCCTGCAGGTTAGGAGGGGCTCCAGGGATCCTGCCTCATTTCTAGAAAATCTGGTGGTGATGAGTAAAGACAAAAGCAGTGAGAAGTGCTTTGCTCTAAAAACCTCAATTCTACTTGGGCTCATTTTATTTCTGCCTTCTGGGATCTGTAATGTTCCAGACATTCAAATCCTGTGGGTGGGGAACACGGATAAGAGTTGTGGAAATGATGGCTATACACTCCTTCCTTCCATGGCTGGAAGGCTAGACCTCTATCTGGGACTTTCTCTTTCAGAGACCCCAGGTATGGAGGAGAGTCTGGCAGAAATGAGTATTATGACTATTGAGCTTCAGAGTCTTTGTTCCCTGCTACAAGAGTCTAAAGAAGAAGCCATCAGGACTCTGCAGCGAAAAATGTGAGTGGGATGCAGTTTTGGTGACAGAGGGACAGTGAGACAGCCTCTTATGCCAAGGGTTGAACTGGCCCCTGAGAGGACAAGAATGTTGCTGAATTCTTCCTTTCTTCAGTTGTGAGCTGCAGGCTAGGCTACAAGCCCAGGAAGAACAGCATCAGGAAGCCCAGAAGGCAAAGGAAGCAGACATAGAGAAGCTGAACCAGGCCTTGTGCTTGCGCTACAAGGTGAAGGAGGGACCTAGAAGTGGGGCAATGAAGAACTGGGGCAGCTCTACTGGCCCACTGGGAGCCATTATCTCTCCAGGAATCTGGGTGGTGGGGATTTTCCAACCACTGCCCTAGTTTTGCCCTTCCTGGGGTCAGACATTTCACATTTCAGCTATGGGCTGACCTATCTTCCCAGGCAGACCCAGGAGAGAAGTCAGGAACTGTAGCAGAACTCTCCCAACACTGAAATGTGCCTTGCCTGGCTTGGCCCTGGAGGAAGAATTGGAGTGATATCAATTGGTCTCATGTGGGCTGAGCATGGGTCAGGCACTCTCTCCTATCTCCTGGCAACGGCTGTGAAGAGACCAGCTCTCCGTGTGTCTTCTCACCTTCCTTTCCCTCACAGAATGAAAAGGAGCTCCAGGAAGTGATACAGCAGCAGAATGAGAAGATCCTAGAACAGATAGACAAGAGTGGCGAGCTCATAGTATGTTCACTATCATGCCCAGGCCTTTGCTTTCTGTGTTACTGGTCAGCCAGGATCCCAAATATGAGAAATGGTTTACTTTTGTTCACCACACGTTGTCTATCCTTATGTCCTATTGGACACCTCTCCATTCTTATTCCCAGAGCCTTAGAGAGGAGGTGACCCACCTTACCCGCTCACTTCGGCGTGCGGAGACAGAGACCAAAGTGCTCCAGGAGGCCCTGGAAGGCCAGCTGGACTCCAACTGCCAGCCTGTGGCCACCAATTGGATCCAGGAGAAAGTGTGGCTCTCTCAGGAGGTGACTCAGAGTTAACAGAGGAGCTGGACAGCAGGTGGGGACCCCAGGCTGTACCCCTGTTGATCTGGACATATTTCTAGGTGGACAAACTGAGAGTGATGTTCCTGGAGATGAAAAATGAGAAGGAAAAACTCATGATCAAGTTCCAGAGCCATGTAAGAATGTCCATGCCATTCCAGGGCCATTTCCTACCATCATTAGCAAATGCCCTGCCATGTTTCCCCTGTCCTACCAAGCTTGCTCTTTTATGCATAGGACTTATAAAATCTGTTTGCTTTCTAGAGAAGTATCCTAGAGGAGAACCTTCGGCGCTCTGACAAGGAGTTAGAAAAACTAGATGACATTGTTCAGCATATTTATAAGGTACAGGCAGGAGGGAGGTGATATAACTAATGTACCTGGTACAAGGCCTGGCCCCAGGAGGTACTAATGAGCACATCTCTCGTTCCCAGCCTTTACTGAGAGCTGGGCCTGAATCACTATTGCAGGCTTCTCTGTGGTGTCTGTTTTCTCCCCTCTAATTCAGTGGCTGCCTGCTGGGGCTGGGAGCCCTGGGCCTTAGGCCTGTGGTCCTGAGCTGCTTTTTCTGCCTCTCTTCCCAGACCCTGCTCTCTATTCCAGAGGTGGTGAGGGGATGCAAAGAGCTACAGGGATTGCTGGAATTTCTGAGCTAAGAAACTGAAGGCCAGAATCTGCTTCACCCCTTTTTACCTGCAATACCCCTTTACCCTAATACCAAGACCAACTGGCATAGAGCCAACTGAGATAAATGCTATTTAAATAAAGTGTATTTAATGTATTTCTCCAAGCTTACGGAATCTTACTTTTTGGGTGAGAGGGGGCGGATGATGAAGTCAGGGAAGAGGCAGCCTGGGCCTCCTGCCTGGGTACCCTCCATAGATCCCTCTCCACCTCCTGGTGCATCCAAAGCCAAGGCTGCCTGCCCTTCCTCCCTTCCCCTGCTTTCACCAAAACTCTGGGCACTGGACTGCTTGTTCCCTGGCTCACCGCCTGGAGGAAGCAGAAAGGCTTCATTCTCTTACTTTCCCCAGCCCCCTCGGGGGTACACCCTGGCAAATATGGGGGTGAGGACAGAGAAGCTCAGTTCATTACTTCCTGCCCTGAACTTGGGCACCTTGATGATGCCTCTGCCCCACCTACTCAACCTGTTGTTACTGTTTCGGTGCCTCCTCTTCACCAGACCAAGCTTAATCCCCAACATCCAGCAAGTGCCCGGCACGTGGTAAAGGGATAGTGGCAGAAATGGACGCAAGGTCATGGCTAGGCTCCACGAGGTGGGAGGGCAGTCCCTGACAGTCACGGATGTCTGGCGGGGCGCTCACTCCACCTCGCCGCCCCGCCTCTGAGGGCGTGGCCTTGCCCCGGACACCAGTCCTGGGGAGGGGGTGTGGTCAGGGCGGGGCGTGCCAGCCCCACCCCCGGAGGAGTCACGTAGCTCTGCGGCATCCGCAGCCTCATTTACCAGAGGGCGCCAGGGCTGCAGTCGCAATTGTTTGCCGATCAGAACCCGAGCTGTGCTTGTGGCTACGGCTGCTAACTGGCTGCGCACAGGTAAGGCCAGGCGAGGCTGGAGCCACTCAACATCTCCGCTTTGTCTCCTTGGCTCTTCCCCTGCCATCCTCGTCCTGCTACCTGGGACTCCAGGATGTGCCCTTTCGACCCTTTCCTAACATCTTCGCTCCTTTCTGCATACTTGAAACCCCATGGCTCAACCTTTCCTGTTCTATCCCTCCTCAGCTCTCCCACCTGAACCTCAGCTTTTCCAATCCCAAATCCTCCTCTTCTTTTGGATATTTCCTTGGAGTCTGCATCTCCTACCCAGAGCATTTCCTGCTCAGCCTGCTCCCTCTCCTCCTAGGCTAGGTCCTCTCTGCAGTTCTCCTGCCTTCTCTGCCCACTAGTTTAGGTCTCTCCCGCTACCTGGTTAGCCTGCGTCACCATTACCTCCCCTCAGTCTCATCTCTCTCTCAGGCTCTCCACTCCTTTCAGCCGTGGTCCTCTGCCCTCCCGTCTGGGTGTCTGAGTTGTGGGGAATTGAAGTCTTCCTATTGCTATCCCTCCCGCCACGCAGGTGAAGTGCTCGCTGGGCACAGAGATGACCCGGAGGTGTCACTAACCCCAGTCTCCACACACTAACGCAGCTGACCCGCTGGGCCCTCTTTCCTACAACACTGCAGCCCCACTGGGGCCAACCTCCGGTACTGGGTGGGAGTAGGCAATAGGCATAGGCAGGCAGGTTTGGAGTACAGAAAAGGAGAAGCTGCAGGAGCCTATGACTGGTATTTGTGCCACTCCTACTCCCTACTTGTTCTTCCAACCTTTTCCTCTAGAAGCTGAGAGAAGAGGGTGGCAATAAGTACTTTTGCCTCATTCTGAAGCCTTGGAAGTAAGTACACTTTCCCTAGGGGTCCTGTGGAGGATGAGAAAAGGGAAGCTGGAAAAGCCAGGGCTTCTGCCTACCTCAACAAGGGTCTAAGTTCAGTGAAAGAAGGGTTGGCATCCTCGATTGGGCAGCAGATTCATCAGAAGACCTGTGGCTTCAGGGTTGCTCACCTCCCCACCCCCACCCTGCATCTTTCCCCAGGGCTGGGAAGGGTGCCTACCAGGGACAAAAGGAGATGTGGGAACTGGAGCCCTAAGCTTGCTAGCTGTCGGAAGGATTGGTGCCACTTGATGCCCAGGACTCATGCCAAGGACTGCTGCCCTGTTCTCAGCCCCTTGCTTGATGGGGGAGGCTATTTGACCCATCTGGCCAGGAGAGGCAGCAGAGGAGGTAGTGGGTGAGGTCTGGCTTTTTTATCTTGTCTCCACTCCAGGGAGCTGTCACCATGCCTCACTCGTACCCAGCCCTTTCTGCTGAGCAGAAGAAGGAATTGTCTGACATTGCCCTCCGGATTGTAGCCCCGGGCAAAGGCATTCTGGCTGCGGATGAGTCTGTAGGTAAGTGGACATCTGTAGCCAGGTAGGGTACAGGTGGCTAGGGGACCCTGGGGATGTTCTCACTGCCTTTCTTTGTTTGTCCCCAGGCAGCATGGCCAAGCGGCTGAGCCAAATTGGGGTGGAGAACACAGAGGAGAACCGCCGGCTGTACCGCCAGGTCCTGTTCAGTGCTGATGATCGTGTGAAAAAGTGCATTGGAGGTGTTATTTTCTTTCATGAGACCCTCTACCAGAAAGATGATAATGGTGTTCCCTTCGTCCGAACCATCCAGGATAAGGGCATCGTCGTGGGCATCAAGGTGCAGCCCCCGGCCCTGCTCTGAATGGAAGCTGGGTGTGAAAATAAGCTTGTGTAGGAGGGGTAGCAAGGAGAATCCTGCCTGGATTCGACCCTCTGCTTGTTCTTCCCCTACAGGTTGACAAGGGTGTGGTGCCTCTAGCTGGGACTGATGGAGAAACCACCACTCAAGGTATAGGATGGGTGGGCTTGAGGACCAAAGAGGTGTTAGATAGTTGATGCTGGTAAAAGAGGGGCAGAGTAATGAGGTTAGCACTGTGCTTGCAGGACTGGATGGGCTCTCAGAACGCTGTGCCCAGTATAAGAAGGATGGTGCTGACTTTGCCAAGTGGCGCTGTGTGCTGAAAATCAGTGAGCGCACGCCCTCTGCACTTGCCATTCTGGAGAATGCCAACGTGCTGGCCCGTTATGCCAGTATCTGCCAGCAGGTGTGTGTTGGGAGGGTGGTGAGCTAGGTGCCCTGTATGCCTGGTGGGGAGAGAGTTACAGGGCTTTCTTCATCTCCCCTACTGCCCCTCCCAAGCATCTCTGCTCTTGCCTGCAGAATGGCATTGTGCCTATTGTGGAACCTGAAATATTGCCTGATGGAGACCATGACCTCAAACGTTGTCAGTATGTTACAGAGAAGGTGAGTCCACACCTGGGCACACAAATATACTGCAGGGACAGCTCGGCAGGAGTGTGTGTTCCCCAGAGCCCCCAGCTTAGATGCAGGCACACTTTCCCCTAGCACTTTTTCACTTGATCCTGGCACAGGCCTGTGATCTGAGCCTTTACTGAGCCCTCACAGTCTGTGCCCATCTACCCCTAGATAGGGAGCACCAAGCAGTAACCAGTGGGGGCCCAGACCCTTAGTAAACCTCCTCTAATCCCCACCCAGGTCTTGGCTGCTGTGTACAAGGCCCTGAGTGACCATCATGTGTACCTGGAGGGGACCCTGCTCAAGCCCAACATGGTGACCCCTGGCCATGCCTGTCCTATCAAGTATACCCCAGAGGAGATTGCCATGGCAACTGTCACTGCCCTGCGTCGCACTGTGCCCCCAGCTGTCCCAGGTACTACCCAGCTCCCTAACCTGCTCCTATCCCTAAGGCCCATCTTCAGGTCCTTCTTGTGGCCTTCAGGGGTTCCCTATCCTGGAAAAATTGGGAGTGACCAGTCAGTTTGTCTTCTTTCCTCCACACTAGGAGTGACCTTCCTGTCTGGGGGTCAGAGCGAAGAGGAGGCATCACTCAACCTCAATGCCATCAACCGCTGCCCCCTTCCCCGGCCCTGGGCGCTTACCTTCTCCTATGGGCGTGCCCTGCAAGCCTCTGCACTCAATGCCTGGCGAGGGCAACGGGACAATGCTGGGGCTGCCACTGAGGAGTTCATCAAGCGGGCTGAGGTTGGGAGCTACAGTTGGTGGTGGGTGGGGCAGTACCCAGAGGCTATAGCCTGGGCAGGGCTTGGCACCTGCGGGCTGGCTCAGCCTGCTTACTCCATGCTCCCTTTTGCAGGTAAATGGGCTTGCAGCCCAGGGCAAGTATGAAGGCAGTGGAGAAGATGGTGGAGCAGCAGCACAGTCCCTCTACATTGCCAACCATGCCTACTGAGTATCTACTCCATACCACAGCCCTTGGCCCAGCCATCTGCACCCACTTTTGCTTGTAGTCATGGCCAGGGCCAAATAGCTATGCAGAGCAGAGATGCCTTCACCTGGCACCAACCTGTCCTCCTTTCTCTTCTCCCTCCCCCTCTCTCATTGCTGCACCTGGGACCATAGGATGGGAGGATAGGGAGTCCCTCATGACTGAGGGCAGAAGAAATTGCTAGAAGTCAGAGCAGGATGGCTGGGTCTCCCCCTACCTCTGCCAGCTCCCACAATTTTCCCATGATGGGGTAGCTTCTCCTTGGGCTCTCCTTCTTGCTTGCCCTGTCTCCTGGGATCAGAGAGTAGTACAGAAGCCCTGACTCATGCCTTGAGTACATACCATACAGCAAATAAATGGTAGCAAAACATGCTACTTTGCCTGTCTGTTTTACACATCAAATTCCCACCTCCCAGTTTCTGATCTCTGCTAATTCTATCTCTGGGCCCTCTGACTCTGGGGGTGGAGAGGGTAGGATTTGAGTTTTACTGGGCTTCAAGTTTATGGAGGAAGGCACATGCAGTCCCCATCCCCAGCTCAGGCTCTTGCTCTCTTGATGTCCAAGTCTGGAGTGGGGCAATGAGGAAGATTGCAAGTCTTCTAGGGACTGCCACATCAGTGGCACTGGGCTGCAGCTACAGAAGGATGGAGTGAGGCCAGACTGGTAACTCCTGAAGGCAGATTTGTGCAAGGCTTAAAGCAGGGAGGCAGCAGGACAGGCTGGGATAAGAGTGGGTGGGAGAGTCTCTCCCATCTCGCAGTGTTGAGCCCAACTGGGACCTGACACGTTCCACTAGGGGGAGCCACACCAGTAAGCGCTAGCGAGCACCTGGACTCCCGCCCAAAGAGGAAAACCCAGGCTCTGCGGGCTGCCAGGGCTGAGCAGGGCATCTAGGAGGTTGCCAAGGGCTATGGCCCA